CTATCCTAAACTATAGTCGAAATTCTTGAAATTTAAACTTAAAAGTTTTCAGAATTGGTCAAAACCTCGCATCTTTTAGTTTTGTTTTGACCGATTTCAGCTAATTAATTTCGAGACTCGTGTTTTTTCATTAGATAAACCCTAAAAATAGCTTTGGAAAAGTGTTCAAACCTGATTATTACTGGTATGAACAACTGCTAGGAGTTCAGTGATTTTCAATACTGAGCATGTGTTTTTATAAATAGAGATAAACCGATTCTTCGAATTGCTAATTCGAGTTTAGAAAATTTTTAGTAATGAGAATTATCGGACTCCTAGCTGTTCTCTCCATGTTACTTATGATCAGTTTTGAACGCCATTTATGAAGCTATTCTTAGGTTTTGTCCAATGAAAAACATCGGTCTAATAATTAGTTAAATCGGTCCAAAAATAACTAAAAAATGCAAATTTTCAACCAACTCTGACATCTTTGTTTTGTATTTCAAGCATTTTAACTATGATTTCGGATAGAGAAAAAAAACTGATTATCGTTGATATAATCAGTCTACAGAAACTGCATTCTTATTAAGGAAAAAAAAAATGTCATATTTGATCTTATATTCTACGAATTGATGCATCCCTAGTATTCATAGCTCATTAAAATCTACATGATGCATATTGTCTCAACTCAAATGTGGTGAACCAGCTGGTGGACTTTCTTCTTTCATAGAGTATTAGAGACTTTAAAGAATTGATGTCATAGAACTAACTAAAAGAATTTTATTGATAGCTTTCATATATATATTTTTTTTTGCCTCAATTTCTCTACGATAATAGCTAATTGTAGATTACAAAAGCTTTCGGCAAGACAATACAATTCAAACTCTTATAATATTCTAAGCAAAATTTTCTTCTTTCTTCCGCATGGTCTAGTTTAATCTATATCACTGGAATAAATAAATACTATTATTATGTTGTATTTATTTTCAATAACGATGAATTAGTTAATCGATGACAATTTTTTGTTATTGTCTTTTCGGAAATGGCATTTCTTTTTCTTTTTCTTTTTTGAAATATTTCTATGATAGATATTTCATGAATATATATACGATAAGAAATAAATGTAAATGAAATCAATGATTTTTTCTTAAATGAAAAGCCCACTTGACAGTCTGTCTTATGTGAAATAGAGCGACAGACGTGACATGAGTTTATTAGAGAATAAAGAAAAGCAAATGTAATAGAAAAAAACGACCATAAAAGGTCGATACACATTAAATTTATTACGAACAAGAAAAAGAAAAAAAAATCATATATATATATATTTAAATACTTGTCGAGGAAATGATCAAAATGATCATGTGTAGAAATTTAATGGATTCACATCACATGTATACGAATGGGAGACAAAATGTCTTAATCATAATTACTGCAATTAAGGATAAATAAACCCGTTTTTAGCTAAACGAAATGATTGTTTAGTTATCAAAAAAATTATTAATAACTTAATAAGCTAACATACATAATTTTATTATTGAATAAATGCAATCATGTTATTTGATGTTTATTATTATAAAAGCCTATATCTATGATAGAGAAGAACATAGAAATAATTAAATAGTAGTAGTTCAATGATGATATTTTATGTCAATAATTTTTTTTTATCAATTAACTTTGCTATATCTAATGAAAACTTATTTATTTTTTACAATATTTTTTTATATAAATACAAATTATTTCGACATGAATGATTTGTAATATTTCATTAGCAACTATCGAATTGTTTTTAGAGAAAATACTATTCAATCGTGACACATACTTGAAAATGAATATTAGTTGTCTCAAGAGAACAGAATTATATAACTAGAAATAATCAAAAATATTTCTTCTTTGGATTAATAAATAAATAGTATTTCTGCTGTGCTTCTTTTTTTTTACCAAATACCTATTCCTATTTCTAACAATCTCATTAATGAAAATTTTTTGTATGTTATTAATTTATTCACAATAAAATATAAAATCTTTTACTATTCATTTCATTCTTTTATTTCTTGAAATATTATTTACATCAAATTTACTTTTCTTGATTAAACATAGCAACACTTAACATAATATATAAAAGTTGATATTCGTAGAAATAAAAATTCACAATTAACCGGAAATTACCCACTGTAGGTATTTAATTCTTGATATAACATTATTGAAAGAATTCTAAAGAGAATCTCACTTTTTTTTCACGATACTTAAATGAAGAAAATAGAAACAAATAATCCGTAATAGATTATAAATCTAATTCATATTTAAGAAAATGTTATAATTTTCTATTATTTATAATCAAATCTCAATATACATAAAAGCTAAAATCAAATTATTAGACTCTAAAAAAAAAACCTTGATCAATTATCTTACATAATCGAAAGCTTTTATAATAAAATCTATTAAATGTTATATATTTCTAACTTAACAAAACTCCTATTAAAATCATAATTTTAAGATATACAATTTTCTGTCTAATGTCCGATCAACATCTACTTCTTCTAATGATATAATTTAGCCGTATTAATTAATAGTTTTGTTCTTTATTATGATAATATATTGATTAATAACATATATTTATTTACTTTTTGATGCTTTTCAATCGAAACAGTTGATGTTTCACTTAAACCGTTTTCTTTATATTTAAAAAAAGTAAGCGAACAGACACAAGAAAAAAGAGCATGATATATTAATATTGTTTATTATTGTGGTTTATCTAGACCCATTAAACGTTGAATATAAGTTTCCCAAGTTGTTTCTGGTAAATTTATTTGTTTACAAATATGCGCATATTTTTCACGCGTTTCAATAACATATTTGACAGCTAATTCACCATTATCGATATATGCTTGCATGATTGGATCATCTTTCGGCGAAAGCTAATCGAAAAAGAAAGAAAATTGGAATTATCAAAGTTAACAAAAAAGAAACAACAATGAACAACTTTAAAATATTCTCCTTACATCTTCTAATTCTGATCGTGCTTTAGATACAAATTGTTGGATAGCATCAAGATCAACAGGAAAATCTGTTTTTTGACTATGGTATAGAAAATAGAAAAGAATAGAAGCCGTTGATATAAGTCGATAAATTTCATTTGAAACTAAATAATTTAAAATAATGAAAGAAAAAAACAATCTAAAAATGAAAATACTTGTTGAATCTAAGCCTTTAGAATTTAAATCATGTTTAACAAGTTCAAAATTAACATTAAATAATTCTCCTAATTGAGTCGTTGGTGAAAAAGATCCATCCTATATAGACAAAGAAAAAAAAAATAGAAAATTCTATATCTAAATTGATAATAGTGCAATTATAATTTACATTATTTTGTTGTTGAAAAACTCCATTTATAAGTGAATAGGTTAGTGGTGTTTCAATAATTGATCTTAATTGAGCATCTTAATAATTTCATGACAAAGTAAAATAAATATTATTATATTTTACAATAAAAAAAATTAATGAAAAAAAAAAAAAACCTACCATTTGTTTCATTTGTAACAGAATCATTTGCTTTTTCCTAATCATAATAAATCATAATGATAAGAATGAATATAACTTTAATGTTATAAAGAAAAAAATATATATTGCTTACTGCTTCACTACTTGCCATAGTGTCAGTTCATAGGAATGACTAGCTTGTAGCAGATCGGTCGGTGATGACGACAGTGAAATGAGACGTATCGTGCGAATTGGGGCTTTGCATTTTTTCTCCTTGCCCTTCGTTTCTTTTTTTTTCTTTGCTCGAGACTGCTTCTTTTTGCTCATTCATGTTTTCTCCTTCTTTTCCTCGCTTAGCGGATGAATAACAACCGACAATGTTAGAGTCTTAGTCTTCGTCTTCATCATCAACAGCAAAAAAAAAAAAAGGAAATATTTCAAGTGATCCATTCTTATCTATTCTCTACATACACTCTACACGTTGTACGCATTGACTGAGTAACTCGAGTTTTGTCAAAGCTGAGAAAGACGCCCGGGAATTCTTAATTGATGAGCAGTTTCTTCTTATTTTTTTGTAATCTAACTGCCTGTCTTTTTTTCCCCATTTCATTTTTCATCATGTTCAAGTAGATTGCTTGTTATTGTTCTTATGCTTGAGAAGTAATGTCCTACTTTGACAAATATCTAAATCAATTATAGAGGATAATCATATGTAACGTGCAATGCAAAAGTTCAATTATTGAATGAATGTTATGTTTATTTTTGTTTTTTTTTTGTTTATACGAAAAAAAAGAAAAAAAAAGACGGATATCAAGAGGGAACAAGTGAAACTGTGCGGAACCAGCAAAAAAAGCACACACACGCACATATACACTGTTATTAAGAAAAGAAGCCAACATCAAAAATACAAGAACAATGTTTGTCTCATCGCTGTTTTTTTTTCAAACACATCTATACACATAAAAGATTGTTCGTGAATAATTTACTTTTACATTTCTATGTATATATGTGTTTCCATTCGTAGCCAACAAATATATAGCAACAACATATATATATTTATATATATATATATAAACGAGAGAAAAAAAAACAATAGGTGTTTATATAAATATACGTTTATGTAAATCCTTTTCATAGATAGATCTTCCACTGAAAACCTGAATATATAAATGATGCAAAAAAAGAAAAACGAAAGAGAAAATTACCAGTGCAAATCAAAAAGAACGAAAACAAAAGTTGACACCGACGAAAAACAGAAGAAAAAACATATTAATCCCAAATATAATATGCTTGTGTATGTCTATGTATATATATGTGTGTGTGCGTTTGTTACCCAGAAAAAAGAAGAAGACAAGTGTATTTTTTGTGATGAATAGTAAATAGTTTTAAAACAAAAAAACAAAAAAAAAAAGAGAGAGAGCAGAGTAAAATGAACAAACAAAAATAGCATACATGCGCACAACAACGATGACAAACATAAAAACAAAACAAAAAAAGAAATTTATGTAATATATAATGATCAATCGATACACTCTTCGTTACATTTATTTTGAGGTCATCATTGTAACGAATTCTTCATAGTTAACTTGACCATCTGAAATGAAATAATGTTATAAAAAAATAAAAATTTCTTTTCTTTTCTTTTCTTTTAATAATTATACCTCCATCAATATCTGCTTCACGAATCATCTCATCAACTTCTTCATCCGTCAATTTTTCACCCAAATTTGTCATCACATGGCTTTTAAAAAAAAGAAAAAATTGAAAAAAAAAATCATATTAAATTCAATATTATAACTAACCGAAGTTCAGCTGCTGATATAAATCCATTTCCATCTTTGTCAAATACACGGAATGCTTCACGAATTTCTTCTTCACTATCAGTATCTTTCATTTTTCGAGCCATCATTGTTAAAAATTCAGGAAAATCAATTGTTCCATTACCTAAACAAAATTATTTTATTAAACTATATATTGAATAGAAAAAATTTTAAATCATACCATCAGCATCTACTTCATTAATCATATCTTGTAATTCAGCCTCAGTTGGATTTTGTCCCAAACTACGCATAACCGTACCTAGAAAAAAAAAGCAAATATAAACATATTTAATTAATTAAAATTATTATTTTGTTTATCAATTAAACAAACCTAATTCTTTAGTTGTAATTGTTCCATCTCCATCTTTATCAAAAAGTGAAAATGCTTCTTTAAATTCAGCAATTTGTTCTTCAGTTAATTGATCGGCCATTTCAATTCAATCGTTCGAATGAATAATATAAACTCCTACACACAAAAAAATCTATAAAACAAGTAAAAAGAAATAGATAATAGTAGACAAAAAAGAAACGACAATAATAACAACAAGATACACTTGACAACATTAACTAAAACAAAACAATAAGAAAAAAAAAAAAAAGTAAATGATAAAGATGTCGCTTATGATATTAAATGACAAAAAATATATTCAAAACTTCAATGAAAATGTATCATATTGTCAAGTAAATTTATATTTATTTGTTTTATTTTTAAAAGTAATAAACAAGAACCATAATATATGTCTAAATAACCTCTACGAACCAATCATTTATTAATATATAAATGATTCTTCTTTTTTTTTCAGCTGGAAAAGAACGAACTAAACAAGAGGAAAAAAAAAGAACGAGAAAATGAGTATATTATTTCAGTGGTGAGAGAAATGGTTGCTTGCTTAGTTATTGGATGTGTAGGTGTTGCAAGTGCTTGTTGCTCTACCACACGACAAAAAAAAAGGAACATAAACAATTATTTATTTTCTATATTTTAAGATCGCCGAGAATTAAGTATCATCTAGCGGCGAAAGGAGGCCAATATTTGGGAGTGTGAGTGAGAGTGAGGTTACGGTTTTTTGAAAAACTACAAACAGTACGCGTTATTTCTACTTATAATCAATTTATTCAACACTCTCAATGGCTGAAGGTGGATATAATATTCAATCGCGCAATAATTATCCAGATCGAATGCAACAATCACAACAAAGTTGTTTTTTTTTTGTTCTTTAAAAAAACAATGTTTTTTTGTTTTTTTTTGTTTTATTGAAAAGAATGATTTATCTTTTAGGCGCGTCAGCCGGTGAAGAAGAATTAGCAACTAAAACACTTCATATACAATCGAAACGTTTCTATTTGGATGTTAAACAAAATAGACGAGGTCGATTTATAAAAATTGCTGAAGTAACGAAAAGAAATAAGAGATGAAATTTTTGCTTATTAAATCTTTCTTTTGTTTTTGAATTCATTATAGGTTAGTGCCGGCGGTCGAAAAAGTCGTATATTAATGTCAATGAATGTTGCAAGTGAATTACGTGATCATTTAGATACATTTAATGAATATATTCGTACATTAGGTAATAGAAAAAAAATAAAATTTTTTCAAGGATTTGTTTTAAATCATTTTATATTTTAGGTGAACGAAATCTAAATAATCCACAATTGACAGAAGATGGTCGACTTCGTTCAGCACTTATAACACGTGATGATCGAAAATATTATCTTGATTTAAAAGAAAATGAACGTGGAAGATTTCTACGTGTATGTGACATTTTTATTATTGTGATTTAGCATTTATATTTTTGTGTATATTTGTATTTCAAATTGTATAGATTTCTATGGTTGGAATTAATACTCCACGTACACAAATTGCATTACCTGCACAAGGTGTAGAAGAATTACGAGATACATTAAATAGTTTACTTGAAGAATTCGGAAATGAAGATGATAAAGGTAGACAATTACGAAAGGGCGACATCTACAGCGAGAAGTTTTCTATTGTGTCTACTTATTTTTTTGAAAAAGTTGTTTATGAAAAAAATATTTTCAATGATAAAATACTCAAATGAAAATTTCTATTCTATGAAATAGTTTTATTGGATATTGAATATATCCATATACGACTAGATAGGAGATACCTTATAAATTAAACATTTGAAATAAAAAAAAAAAAAAAGTGATTTCATCAAATAGTTTCATAATAGTAATGTATTTCGTAGATAAAGATGGAGCTAATAGTATTTTGTCTTTTTCTAATTTATTTATTAATCTAGTTTTGTATTATTTTTAGATAGTATTGAGTCACTACCAGCAATAGGTAAGTGAAACAAACAACAATTTAATATAGTTTCGTCACTCATTATATGATTATATATAAAACATAGAGGCAAACCAATTTTATTTTTTTGAGATACAATCTACATTGAAGGCTTCATTTATCCAACCAAAAAAAAAAATGCATGAAGACGACGAATGGAAAGATATTTTAATTAAGTGAAATTAATTGAGCTCTATTAATCTGACTCATCTATTAAAAAACAAAGTAAACTAAATTAGTCTGATAAGATATAAAAAAATACTATCACAATCTCTTTTTTTCTCCTAAGAAACATAAAATAAACTTTGTTTTTTTTTTTTTTATATTATTTATTTTTAGAAGCATCTAAATTACCTGAAAATAAATATCTTCATGTTGGAAATAAAAATTTCTATTTTGATATTGGTTCAAATAATCGTGGAGTTTTCTTACGTATATCCGAAGTAAAAAGCAAAAACTATTTTTTTTTTGTTAACTTACATATTACTATTTTTTTTTTCAATAATATAGGTTCGTGCAAATTATCGAGCAGCTATAACAGTACCAGAAAAATCATGGTCTCGTTTTCGCGATAATATAAATGATTTTATTCTTGCAATGGATAAAGAACGTAATAATACATTATCAACGGAAGATAAGTCTCAGTCAAATTCTGGTAATGGAGATAAATCATCAGTTCCCCAAAGCACTGTTGGTGAAAATAAAAAATAAGAGTACATTTACTATTAAATACGTATAGAATTATTTTAAACGAAACAATAATACAACATATTCTAATAATTGGTAGCTTTAGCTTCGTCTTTTTCTTCTGCATTATCTTCTTCTTCCTCTTCTCTTTTGTCAAACACATAGACAAATTGATCCTTTTTTGACTCTTAAAAAGAGCCCGGTGTGCGTTTGTATGTGTATAGTAAAGAACACGTTGCATTGTAAATGTTGTTTTGGGGCACTTTTTTTCTGTGTGTAAAAACAAACGTTTATTTATCCAAATAACTTTTTTTTTAGTATAACACAACACTAGTTTCTTTTTTTTCTCGCTTCTTTAATCGGAATGGAAAAAAAAACAAAAAAAAATATATATAGAAAGATTAATTAAACAGTCTTTCGTTAAGTATTATTTACAGTAACCCATTTTCTTGTCGCGCGTCGTATATATTTTTATTTATATGTGTGTGTGATTGTGTGTGTGTCTATAATGAATTCTTAAGTTTAGTTTTTATTATGTATTGACGAAACAAATTTTTTGCTGCTTATGTATTATAGAATAGTTTTTTTGCTGTTCGGGAAGAGAAGTTATCTGCTTTGTTTGTGTCTATTCTTTCTATTCCAAAATCCGTTATTCTTAATATTATTTTTTTTGTCTGAGTGCGTATATATCAACCGGTTTTTTTTTGTTCTTTATCTAGTTCTAGAGGTTTTTTTGTATCATAAAAACTATTGATACATACAGAGAAAAAGGAAACATTGAACGATTCTAATAAATGTAATAACAATCAAATATTTCATATTTATTTTATCTTTCAGATTGTGAAAATAAATTATTTTTCATGTGTTTTTCTTTATCTTTTTTCGGTTACTGAATGCCTCTTTTCGGTCGTCGATTATTTCATCTTAATGAAGATGATTTAAAAGATAATAATGAACAAGAACAAATTTATACGATTGAACATACTGGAGAAAAATTTCATAGTAAAAACCTATATGAAAAATTAAAAAAAGTATATGAATTAGAACGATGGACATGTGAATGTACATGGAGAGCTGGTTTAACACATAAAGAAGCTTATGAATCAGAAGTTGAAACAAGAAAATCATTATCAACTATTGTTCCAAATTATTTTCATAAAATTATTTTTGATATTATATATCATAGTAAGTAGTTTTTCGCTTCTTTTTTTTTATAGAAGGAAATCAAAAAAAATAAAGAGATTAATTTAATTTTGTAATAGGTGTTAAACCATTGGAAAAAGTGGCTGAAGAAGTGTCGATTATACTTGGGTAAAGTTTATGTCATTTTTTGTAACAAGATTTTAGAACTTAAAATATTAATTTGACAAAAAAAATCATAATTTCTTTTCTTTTAGACAAGGTTTTGTTATTGGTGAACCAGTTCAATTTAAAAAACGAAAAGACACTACAGTGTAAGGTTTTAATATATTTTCATTTTGTTTTAATAAGTTCTTTTTCTTTGTTATCAATAGTGTGAAAGGTATTATCGAACGAATCGAAGAAAATGATGATCAACGTAAACGTATATCAGAACGTGCATCTGTTCAAACACGACCATTATCAGATAAAGTAAATATAATTTTTATTTTTTATTTTTGAAAAAAATAAATAAATTGAAATCAATATAATTTTTTTATATTATATAAAAATTAGCAAATGAAAAATGTCAAATATGCAATTCGATTATCCGACGAAGATCGTGTAATTAGTAATGTTCAACCGAATGAATTACAGTAAATAAATATATATATATATTAAAAAAAGACAAAAGAAACTTTTAATTGAAATTTATTTTCTCTAGACGAAGTAATTTCATACCTAATCGTGAAAAATTAAAAATCTTTATTCGTTCATATGCATTTCGTCTTGGCAATCGAGCAGATAGTCCATGGATATTTTATGATGAATCAATTAAAGAAAAATATCAAATAAAAGATCGTATACCATCAACAGTTATTGAACAATTGAAAAAAACAATGACTATTACTTTGGATGTAAATAGAAAAAAAAAGCAATGTTTTAATCATTAAGATAGATAATAAATTGATATTGTTTTTATATTGTTGTAGGAAATTCTTCGTGAACAAGAACGTATTGTACGTAAACAAACTGAAGAACAAAATGCTCAATCGGGTGAAAGTAGAAAGTCAAATGAAAATTATAACAATGGTAAGTTATTCTACAAATTATTTCATTTTATAAATCATTCGATCGATTTCTCTAAGATCCTTTCTCAACAGTAGGTTCTGAAAATGCGATTTTATCGTTTACATCAATATTTATTGTCCAAAACTAACGATTATCCCACATGTACACTATTTCGAAGAAAAACATAGCAAGATATTGACCTTCATAAACGGTTTCGAAACGTTACTATATGTCACATATGTATAATAA